TTTCACCTTCTTCAATTACACCCCGATCCCAAGCAAAACTAGCTCACTTTCGTACGTTGGGGTCTAACTGTATGTCGGCAAAGCGGTTCTGATCGAGCTTATCCTCACCGGTATATCCTCCTACTTTGAACTGCAAATGACACTGGATTAGTCTAGAAAGCCTATAGAATTGTTCTCTGCACTTTCATTACTATGGTATTCTATCGCTGGAGAGGCGTCTTAGAGGACTTGGAAGCCGCATGTTTCATTTAGGGGCAGCGAAGTCGAAGAAGTGGCGGGAATTCGCCGCTACTACCTTTGGTAGAAAGCTGGGCCAACCATCGCGATAGTAACTAGAATCGAGCATTACGCATTTCTTGCGAAAGGCCGAAGGGACCTCATACGACCCCCTTTGACCCTTTCTATGACGTTTCATGGTGACCCTCCATTCCAACTGCTCTCAACCTCCAAGATCTGCGCCTATTGTGGGATTCTTTCATCTCTCTCCGAAAACTTCTCTTGTCGATGTTTTCAAAACAACAATACTTTTTAGCTCCCCTAAAATTGCAAACGACCCCCTCCCCTTGTAAATTGTTAAGGCCGCTATCACCCGTGCTCATAAACGAGTACACCGCATTGTGACAGCGAGTGCAGCATACTGACAAATAGGGCTCATAAGACACCCAAGCCCTGGACAAACAAACGTCATACTCTGCAACGCGTTATATTTAGCCTTGAAAGAAAAAATCAGTCACCACTATAAATTAAAAATTGTTGGCAATCGTAACACGACAAGTTGTTTCACACTGACCTTAGCCTCACAAAGTAAAGTATAGTTAAAGTATAGTAGGACCCTAAGGAACTCATACGTGAAAGCGAAAATTTCAGGAAAACATTAAAAAAAATAAAAAAGGAACTTCACCTCCATGACCTTGTCCCTAGTAACATTGGCCCATGTGAAGTACATCATTTCGTTGCTATTGACGGTCTTCATTTCATGTCCCCTTTGTCCAAAGGTGATTGGTACCTGAAAGGAGAATTTGTCTTCATATTCAGTTAGCTCATAATGCTAGTCCCGGCGCATGAATGAAGACTTCAAGGGGCTATGGCGCCTTCTGTAGAAGTAGAGATGCTGCTTTCAGCCCAGAATGCTTATGTGAGAGACTTTGTCGAATCACCCATCACTTTATTCGCCGAAACCTCAGCTAGCTTAGCGGTTGGATAATTTGAAGCCAGCCACATAATTGGAAGCCAGCGACAGCCAGTGAAATAGATACCACCTTCCTGTGTTTATCCTGTTCCCACAAATATCTACCATCTCACGATGCTAGTGGCATATAGTAGTCGAATAGTTAGCAGTTAAGCGGTCACAGAAACTGATCACACTTGCCTTCCACACACCATATCAGGACTTATAAACCCCTTTCACTGCTGTCCCTCTTCGAATATGTTTCCGTGCCACCCTCAACATCATTTCCAAGAGACAACCGTGTTGACCCGTGCAGTATAAATTTCTTGACGCCTACGTTTTAATATCCCTTATCAGTTGTTATCACTCCTTGTCAGTCACCGAATACGTTCACGTCCCACCGCCTACATCACTTGTTGGAGACAACGTGTCACTGCTGGTGGTTTGCGTACTATGCATTATGTGACATGTGGCCTTCTATCGTCACTTATCAAGCCTTATCAGTTGTAATCATTCTTTTTCACCCCACAGCACTTCTGCACCAACCTTCTTACATATTGAAAACTCCGGCAGACTGGTGGTCCGCGCGCTTGTAATCCTGTCAAACACACAGCCGGGAAACACACACATAGTCATCACTACGAGGGGAGGTCGTTCAGGGCGTGGAGCGCTTTTTGAAAACGGTTTTTTGCATGAAATAGGGGCAGGTGCAGTGAACACAGATCTATGGTCCATTTCCGCTAAATGGCCTTCTGAATGCCAAAAAAGGAGTGAGAATCATTTTGTTGGAAACTGCAGTTTTTACCTGTTAAAAGTGGTGTGTTTCATTCATGGCGTGGACTACTTGCGTAATGGAGGGTCTTCGTAAGGTGTGTCTCGAAAACATCGAGAAGTTTGGTCAAAATTGGAAAGTTGTCGTGGTGGTGTCATGCTGTGTACTAAAGAGCGTGTGGAAGTTCCATAAGAGCATTTGGCCAACATCCTCCAGCAGCGTCGGTGGTGTAGTGGTTAGCGATGGGGATTTCGATTGGCACGCTTGGTCTGGGTTGGTGGTTCGGATCCCCGAGGCGTCGGGCTTTTTGCATTTTTTGTAGGCACTTCACGGTTTTCCAAATAGCACAGGTGCCAAAATGGATGTGTTATTCAAGACCAGAACTATTGATAACCCAGATTAGGTAAGTTTCACCGAAAGCAGGCAAAAAAAGTTGTACCGTTGGAATTTCGCCGGATAGCGGCGGCTCCAAAAAACAATGCCACATTCGTGACAAGAGCACCAATTTACCTCTGGTGCCAACGTTTCGAAGAAAATCATCTTTGGCATCTTTGGCCTAACTTCGAAAACTTGACATAAGTAAATCTTCAAGTATTCCCACTCGCTCGGAGGCGAGCTCCGCACGGAAAACTGGCAGAAAACTACTGCACTGTGGGTGACCCTCCGACCAACACCAGCTTGCTTGTCTGCTATAGTCTATTCGGCAGGAGCATCTCTCATTTTTTGAGGACTATCTAGATGATGTCATTTCCAAGAAGTTCATCGTCGAGCTTTACTTGCCACAGAGTTTACTTATTCATCTAGCAAATTTTCGAAGTCGGGCCAAAATCTTGATTTTCTTAGAAACATCGACTAGAAGGGTTATCAGGTGCCCTGATTATGATACGACATTGCGTTTTGTAGTCCGAATGCATTTTCGGGCCCTAGTGACGTTCGTCGACGGACTTGGTGAAGAATCTATTATGCGCGTCACAACTTTCTCTCACCAGTTTTTTAAAAGCCCACTTGTAAGGGTTTTTGTAAGCCTAATTGTAATTATGACATCAATTGCTGGTGTTGGCGTTCTTCGGTGCCAATTTTGTGGCGCCAAATCACAGTGCAAAAATTTTGTCACCGCGGGGAATCGAACCAAGGACCACTTTCCCACCCTTTTTTGGCATTCAGTGGGCCATTTAGCGGAAATGGACCACAGTTCTGTATTCCAGGCACATCCCTCTATATCATAGGAAAAACCATTTTGAGAAAGCGCTCCACGCCCTGAACGACCTCCCCTCGTCAGTCACTAGTCATAGTAGGGATTACAATGGACTCCACCAGTAATCATAGAAATCAAAAAGAAATAATACATAGTTCAATTCGGAGAAAACTCACATTCAGACTGTTCATCACACACACCGGGGCCATGCCTTGTTGGAACGGAGACAGATGCACAGCAACAGAAGAATCAGAGGTCGTTACGCAAACTTCTATTCCGACTTGATCATTGTCGAGCTGAACCAGGAGGTTTAGAGCAATTCAGAGAGACCGCTGAAAAAAGAACTTACGTGACAGAGCGTTTCGAAATTCTCCGTGATCGGGACAGAATCGACTCCTCTTCTTGTCCTGCATACCTCGCACACAGGAACTTTCGCTTTCCACTCTGTTGTGGCCAGATTTCCACACACATAAAAGTAGTAATGTAACGCCACGGATCCTTCGACTCCATGACCGATCGCAGAAGAAATGGAAAAAATATTGCAGATTGGTCGCTCGGTTGGAAAACAATTATCGGGATCGATGGTGTAGTCTAGACGATATTTGAAAAATTTCTCGTTTATCTAGTAACACAGTTTGCCTTGAAGAGACATCCAATGCTAAACGTATGTGGAAGACAAGATAATGGGGTTATTCGCCCTTTCTATTGGCGGGCCTCACCTCTTTGCCACCATGAACGGAACAATCCACCAACGAAAAGTGTGTTGGTCCAACTGGCTTTACCACATGTTTGGCGTGGAGCACGCCTTTGAAGGCAGACTGCACGATAAACTGGTCGCGCTTAGAAAGAAAGCAGAACCACTAAGGCTAGGAGACGTAGCTCCATAAAGAAAAATTCAAGGACGGGTCGCGAAGCCGGGGGGCGGGCGAAGCGGAGACGTTTGCGCCCTCACTAATTTCCGCATTAAAAGGCGGATTAACGATAATGAATTAAAGAAGGGCCTCAAGTGTGACGTGGTGGTGCTCAGTGGTACGCCAGTGGACGAAAAAGAGGGAGAAGAATGCGTCAAGAAAACCCAAAACGCGATCCCTTTTTTGCCGTTTATTTTTCACTCATGAACAGGTAACAGACTGAGAAAGTAGATGTAGGAACAAGTTCACGCTAACCAACTCAATGACATGTGCCAACCTCCTTTACTGAGATGAGTCATTGCGCGGCTGGCTGGTCCACGGCAGCTCGACCAAAAACGATCAAGTAACTTGAGGTCGGATGCAGCTCAGCAAATCGCATCAGCAACAGTCACTTTCATTGTGAAAGTGACAAGTCTCGCTTCCCTGGCAAACTAAGTAACTGACATCGTGGTGGATGCAACATGCTTCCCCACAGTGCGCGTCCGTGCTTTAATACGTAAACCGTTGCTTGTGGAGGCCAGTCTACATCGGGCTGCTACCGATCTACGGAAGCGTCTGCCTGCCTTAATAAAGCGGCCAGTGGTTCGGACTGCAAAGTGGTTCAGTTAGTCGGTGGGCATGGACGCTGCGCGCCAGCGTGGGGAAGGCTTGACGTGGTTTGTTACAGGTGCACTCTCAGCAATTGAGCGTCTTACCATTCTGTCTCTCCTTTAGGTATATGCAGTTTTGCCTTCTTCGACGCATCAACTTAAAACGTCTCAACCTACTCAAGAGGCACGTCTACGTTCGCAAATTTGAGCCAATGGACTTACAAGAAGCACTCAATCACACAAGCGCAGAGTCGGTGCCTAATGAATTCTGGCTCCTACTCTCTACTAGTTTCGTTCGCGTATGAGGCCAATTGTATCTGATGTTAAACGAATTGAAGAATTCATCCGCTAACAGGGCCATTAGCGCCTCTCTCATAACGCCATTGTAGTTTTCTCACGATCAGGAGTACATTTCTTATTATTTAATTTCACTTCTAGACACACATGAAACTAGGTTATCTAAGAAATGGATCTAACCTTTTCCGCTGGAACAGATACCCATTCACTCTGCCCTTCTTCCCTGACTTCCATATCCCATTTGCTGAGATTCGAGACCAAAAAGAACGGACAGAATGTGACAATCTTTGTCAATCCCGACTGGCACAATTTGATGTCGACAGTCAACTGGAATGATGCATTCATGACAACAGCAATTTTAGAAGGAAGAAACGCCCCACCTCATAGTCTCTGTCTTGTCCTTCACAGATCACTCGGGCTGGATTACCAACGGTGTCGAGCGGCATTTCTTGCGACCACTGACAGCCTGGCTGATCAACACCACACAGCGAGACTGTAAAATTAAACTGTAGTTCTCATTAATTGAGCCTGAGAGTTATCGCGTGATAATCGTAACAAGATTTTCTTTCCAGATCTGCCATCGTCATTTAAAGCTAATATGTGACGCGATAATTAGAATACCTCCTTTGAACTGATCGTGGGTCTGCAAAGCAGAGGTGGCACATTCGCGATTAAACGAAGTTAGTTAGGGTGCAAGAGGGCGGAAGTGGTGTAGTGACAAGTGGCGCGCTTACCACGCGAGCGGTCCGGGATCAAATCCTGGGTCGTGAGTCGCCCGGGCCAACCAAGCCTTCCATCCCTCCGGGGTCGGTTAATTGGTACCAGACTTGTCTGGGAGGATAAAACACTGACTTGTACATCGGCTGCGCCCTCAGTAGTCTAGGCCACATCGCATACAAACGCCACTACGAAAATCAGGGAGGTGAATGTGTCCGCTCAGCAAAGGGATTGTGCAACGGCACTGCTTCATGTTTTTTGATCATTTTTAAGGTGCAAGAGGTCTTACTATTATCCATGCACACGCACATTTCGAAGTCGTAAGGAGCAGTGCGAGAGTCCAACTGCAAGCTGTGACGCGTGTATACCCCACTTTCGCCACGCTCGTCGAAATCTAAAGTTCGCTGCGTCGCATATCGCGGACCACATCAGCGCATCGCCTACTTTAGCGCTCCTCTGCCCCTTTCACAAGACTTCCTTGCATTTCTCCGATTTGTCACGATTTTCACCTTCATCAAATCGGTCGATGTAGGAACCTATGGCAATTACGATCCTTCGTTTCTTCAGCTAATATAAAGGAGAACTCCTGCGGTAAGCGGGAAAGAAGCCTAACAATTTAGTCTAACCCTTTGATAAGAGGCTCAACATAGCGAATTATACCATTTCTAAGCATAGCGCCATCTTCGATCGACCCTAAAACTCCAGATCGCACACCGACAGTACATTGTGATGACATATGTATGTACAAACATACCATGAAGGTCAACAGGTTGAATCTTTACGTGACATACCTTTTTCTTTTTCGTGAAATCGGTGCTGGGGAATGGAAGGATGAGCGGATTTTCCTCGGGAAGATGCTTAACGGCATATTCGGACTCCTAAAACACGACTTTAAATATTACAGTATGACAACTCATAAAGCTCCACTGATAAAGCTGATTAAGTGTGTCACATCTATTTGCTCTACACACATAACTACTGCATGCCTGCTACTGTAGCACTTTCCTAAAAGCTTTCGTTAATACAACAGATAGACAGAAAAAGCAGTTCGGAGATCGAATATTAAGCAAGGATTATGCGGAAAAAGCTCAGAAGCATGCACGATCTTTACCACAGCATCATCACCAACTCAACTCTTGATCGGGGTCGGGATCAACAAGTGGTGGGCGCTAGAAAAAAATAACAAAAATTAAAACATCTGTCCATGTCTTTCAGACAATTGTTACCTGAAGCTGTACAGCTAAAGACGCATGTGATCGCAACGCGGAATGTTTCATTAAACGATATGCGCTGCACTACTATCGAATTATGGATCATACCGTGCCGCGACCGCGCGCGTCATAGCCTGGTAAATTCGGGAACGACCATCTGTGAGACACGAACTCCAGTTCAGATTCACTTGAAGCGCCCATTTAGCAGAAGGCCCCGACTCCTGTGCAGCGAAGCAATGTTACTGCGATCGTTTTTCGGATGTGACACGCACAAAAAACCACTCAAAATCGTATTATTCAACCAGTACTCATATCGAGTAGTGACCGCACACTACGTATGTGTTCACCTGTTGTGAAGGCTGGGCCTTTTTGCTTTTGCAGGGCACACATTGTGTCGTTTTTTTCAGGAAGTTCCCGCCACATTCCTAGAATGCTCACGAAATGGTAGCTTGTGTGTGACTGATGGTCCCACGGTTAGAGAGAAATGGAAACTGTTAATCAGTTTGCAAGAGAGAAACAGGGAACGCAGCACTGAGCCCACCATATGCTTGAGTGTCATCGAGGTGTTGTTCACCAGCCAGAACGGCGCGTACAGGTACACTTTCAAATCACCATGATCAGTGCTCCAGTGCAGTCCGAGCAGCTGTAACAATGCGATCAGATAAGATCAATCAGCGGATGGACGTCTTCGGGAAACTTACAAGCTCAGAAGAACCAGTGTCAGTATTCAGCGCCACAACCTCCAGATCCTTCTTGACTTCCGGTATTTTCATATCAAGCGAATACATTTCTCCGAGGTACGGAGCCTAAACGAAAGCAGAGTAATTTCTGAAGAAAAAAATGATAAGCTCTCCTGAAAATTCTTCTAGACTTAAAGGCACATTCCACGGTCGCCTAGGTTGAGTTCTTGCGTTTAAAACTGAGAGCAAAATATAATTTGTCAAAAGCATCAAAAGACTTTTCTTTGAAATGGTCAGCTACGAAGAAGCCAAACTGGATGACTGCGACAAGATAAAAAAAGGAGAATATGGGAAGAAGCGAGACGCAGACATCTCGCCGCGCGTAACGCTTCAAATTAAGAGGAAGCGCTGCAGTAGTGCCAGGATTGACAGCTCTAATCCCTTGTCCGCGCATTTTCCAGCATGAAACTTCAATTGTTCGGTATTTTGCGGACAGTTTTTCGCTACTGAGGCGAAAGGACTAATATTTAAGTCAATCGACATCTTCTCAGCGAACAGAAAACTTTACAATGAACTAACCCATAGTCGAAGACGGTGACCTGGAATCATGTTGAGCAGTGTGCACTCTCCTGGTTGCAAATCCATCGCAACTGGCATTTTAAGGTTGATCCGAGAATGGAAGGATATTATGGAATTGCAGTGGAGGATAGATATGCATCGAATACACTTCCGTTTGCTGATCGACTCCTAAAATACCTTAGTGTAATGCTAGAAAAAAAATGGAAAAAGCACTCCCAGCACCATTTTCGGGGAGCGCCACGCATTCAATCACCATTTCGAAAACTCAATTTCATATCGCAATGTAATATACGCTATATGGTAGAAGGAGTGTTTCGTGGTGGAAAATGGAGCTGTTAACCACGCGCGCGGTCCACGACAGACAAAGATAGTAAGGAAAAGATTTTTTTGGGCGAGATGAACTAAAAGAGATTCTATGGCAGGAAAAAAGGACTAGGAAATGGAAAATTGTTAACGGAAAGGAAGAAATGAGCTTCTGAAAACGTATATAATACCTTCACGAACTCGTTCTTCACGGACAACAGTCTCGAAAAAGTAGCCCTGAGTAGTATCTTCGCTCAGATCGCATCTGATCACCTTTCGTTGATTGTGCATGAAGTTATGCCAAGTCACGGATTCGAAGCTCACTTCACATCTAGAACGTCTTCAAGTCGGAATACCACGCAAATAAAAACTCAAGAAATATAACAAACAATTAAGCTCGACATCTGTTACTCTTACTTGTCATTCGCGGGCCTGAAGAAAATCTCTCCTGTTGGGGAATACAGGAGCGGTACCGCCAGTTGGAGTGTTTCATTTGGAGCGACAGTTCCAAACAAATCCAGATTGGAGCCATTCTTCGCGTACAACTCCATGGGTGTGTCCAGATGGTTCGTCACACTAACATGGGACTTGAATGTAATAAGACGACGACCATTCTCAATCGTTGTATCCGCAATGATCTGAACTACTCCCAATCAGGCGACAGCGTTGAATACGAAACCTGCGAATTGATTTTTCAAAAGAAAAACAACGCACAACATAGCTTTTCACTGCTTAGGAGCGAAAGTGTTCTCCAAGGGACCGTTGTGACTCGTATACAAACCAAGCCGTCCTACGCGGACTGCCGTGATACGTTTAAGGTAAACCTTGGAGCCAGGGAGGGTCAACTATCCGTTCGAACTATTCGAGCGAGAGGATCGATTTAAAATTGGGAGGGGTGTCGCATCTGAGGTTGAGCAAGGTTCATAGAGGGAACGGAGGTTGGCGGAGGTCGTTAAAGGGGTTGTGTTTGGACGGGTTTTTGACGAATTTGGTAAAATTTTTACAAAAATAGAAAGAATTAGGCAGAATTGGTGGGTTTGCCTATTCATGATACCACTTTGACCCCTCCCTCGGTCGACGGTCGTTTTGGAGAGAAAAGTGGGCGGAGTTGGGCTCTGTCGGCTGGTTCTATAATCAAAGAAACAACCATGATGGTGAAGGTGGTGGTACGAGCGGGGGGAGGGGAGGGAAGGACGGGATCGCATTGAGGGAGCCTTCTAAAACTGATGGTGACGGCGAGAGGCGTATCGGGACCTCCTAAAAAAAAGGGGGGGGGGGTCGAAAAAATTTTAAGAAAGACTGTTCAAACGTGACGGTTGACCCTGCTCGGAGCGCACTCTCATTGGCGATTACCTGCACAAATTCAGTCACCACACTTCAGTGCGCGTAGAATGGTCTTCCTCCAGATAAATTTTTCCGAAGAAACAGTCTGCACTTTGTAAATTCGTCTGTTTGACAGTGAGAATTCAAAACAAAGCTCCATAAAGAAAGTAATAATAAAGAAGAAGGTAGAGGATGGCACGGATTTCGACTTTTTAGCTGCACTGACTTTCTGATTTTGACTATAAAGCCGCGCACCATGCAAAAGCACGTCCACTCTTAACTCCTACAAACTGGTAGCCACCATTTTCTCAGTTTTGAAGTGTTCGTACTCTTTTTTGAGCTGAAATTCTACCCAGACCATCACTGCTTTTAGAGCCAAAGCCCAGCCCAACCAAATTAGAACATTGTTCTATAACCACTGCTTTTACCAATGTAAATTTGAAAAGATTAACAAAGAAAATAATTCATGTGGAAAAAATTGAGCAAACCTTCCACTGCTTTCCTGCATCACTTTTCTTTGGTAACGGTATGGAAACCTTGTCCGCACGGCCGATTTTCAATTGCCTGACCGTATCGAGGAGATTCACTCGCAAATAAGCACTCAATTCCGTTTGGTTTGAGCTAAGACGCTCCTTGTCTTGCTGAAGAAAAAAAAACGGCATTTCCCAAGGAAAAACGCAATTCTACAAAACCATTGGAGAAAAACTTACTGATTCCGCGGCCTTGGCCGCTGTTTCCTTGCTCATGTGCAAATCAACAAATCTACCGTGCGGTGCTTCAACTTCCTCACCACTCTCATTTATCTGAAAAACATTTTTTTCTACCAAATCATGCAAGTTACCTGGCGATCAGGCGCGAGAGCGTATTTGTCACTTGGTAACATTGACTATTTTTAGGTACAGCAGCGCGTACACCTTCAATACGTGACTGAGATTCTAACCTGAATACTATCAGAGCCGGCGACCTTGATAATAATTCCGGTCTCGTTCAGCACCAGAAACGCGGAAAGACCAGGAAGGTGACGAGTAAGTGGTGGACTGCTCTTCTTGGCAGCAGCGGCGAACGCCTGCATATCGAATAATTATTTTACGTTTACGTACATGAACAAAAGGAAAACAAATACAGCATAACCGTACTTGAGATACGTGGTTCAGCAACGAAATGAACGTTTTTGTAACAGTAACATTCAGCATATCATCTGCATCAATCTTCACATCCATGCCAGGTTTGGCGTCTCCTTGATCATTTTTGTTTCGCCCTTTGACCTGAAAGCCTTGACTACACTGAACTTCTAGATGTTTTCATGCCTCAAGGGCTGCTTAGGCCAAAAACAGACCGTCATTGTGAGGTTCCACGGAGCCCAGCTATCCGTGCCACATTCCACGGGCTCAATAACTGGCTCCCAGACACTGTAAAACAGGCGGGCATGCGAAAATAATGAAAGGAGCACGCACAAAATATTGTTGGGTCTGTTAGGTTCAGAAAGTTGACTCACCTTAACGACTCATTGTAGTAAGACATCTGCAGAGAGAGATTGGCAGAGGCCTGTAGCGCTGACGACCACCCGGACGCTTCAGCTTTGACCAGCATTTGCATAAAAATCAACGGCACAGGAATCTAGGCGAAAAAACCATTGTCATGTATAGAAAAGGAGAAGATAAAGATCAGAATTCAATGAGGCAAAGGAGAATTGCTAAGGATAGCGCTGCAACTTACCGTTCCAGATCCAGCTTCAAGAGTAAAGTTCATGCGTTCGATTTCGACATGAGCACGCTCAAGAGGAGCTTGACTACTTTTGGTATTTTCAGCACTTTCCAGATCTGCCTCACAGGCTTCCTCAGCCGTTGGTGCATTGTAAAACCAGAACCTGCAAGAGAAAAATCGCACCATGAGCAAAAAGGCTAAAATTCGCGGTCGAAATTTGATGGAAAAGGGTCCATTCATACGCAGAAGCACGGGACCTTGTGCAATAGCGATAGTTAGTGAAATAATATGAAAGCAATCGGTGTCGATCAACCTTTTTGAGAAGCGTCATTGACCCGACTTCCACTCAGAATTCAAAAACAAATTCAGTCCGAACAATGCCTCGAAAAGGCCAACAGGTAGGAATTTCACGCCATCATCTCAAATAAGACTGGTACAAAACAGCCTAGCCTCAAGGGCTGGAAAACATGAATGCACATATTTGATCTGGAAGTTGATCCAACCCTCCATACCACATTTTTCACTACCAACCTCACAGAAAGCCTACCAGCATCTTATTTTTAAGCATGTGCACGTTCAAAAATCGTAATGGAAAGCGCCAACAAAAAGAGTAACAGCGAGAATCTTCGAAATCTTCCTTCTGACATACTTTTTCGGTTCAATGCGCCTGGCTCGCCAGTAGTTTTGGAATGACGGCGGCTTCATTTCTTGCGATCCAGTGCTTTCCTCAGTCTGAAAACTAATCATGCCTCCGGTCCCTTAATTGTAAACAAAACTTTATCGTTAAGCGTACCACTGCACTGCTCTTTGCGAATTCGGCATTGACAGTAGAGAGGAGGCGAATAACTGAAGGAGCCATACGAATTTCCATCGGTGACATTTTCAACACCACATCTGTTGCTTTTGTTGGCGTGTCTATCTTCATGTCGATGCCAATATTCATAGGCTTCAGAACCTGCAATGGAAGATATACGAATTACGGTTCGACGTTGGAAATCCTGCCACTCGCAAGGACACATCGACACACGCTCGGTGCATTGATGCACGTCCACAGTTGAGGAAGTGTTGATGTCTGCGTCTCATTTGTCCCCATGCTCTCACCCCAAATCTGTTCTCTCTCATCGGCGCTCAGTGCTTTTTGGAATGCCCACATCTATACTTGTCTACTGCCCAAGATGAAAGCTCATATTCCCAGCGCTCTCCGCGTTTCTTCGCTGTTCTTCCTCGCAGAGCCCAGTTTGAACCTCCCTTCGCTTGTAAGTGCTATATCCCCATTTGGGAGTTCGTGGAGCAAGCTTCTAGAGAAACTAAACGAGAAAAGAAACGCACAGTGCGCTCTCATACCTCATAGGTGACTTCGTTCCTTCTCCATGGAGCATAGTAAGAGCTGAAGATTGCCAACTTTTCTATCCCTCCTCTCATGACCTGTTCCTTGGGAGACTGTAGAAAAAAAGCAAATTTAATGGAAAAGGAATTCAAAAAAAAAACGCAGTGACCCGAATGCTCAGCAAGAACCTTATAAAACGTACCGGAGTCGCAACCATTTTCATGTTGAACGACAGGATCAAAGCTTGAGAGGTGTCAGGTTCCATCGAACTTTCGACCAGGATGACTTCAACACCCTAACAGAGAAAAGACGAAGTAGAACATGGTATTCAAGGAATCCAGACATTATGAAACCTTACCTGCATGTCACAATCGAGAACCATCGACGGCGCTGGAGCATCCTCCTTCAAAGCAGCAGCTCCAGCAGCGGTCAGCTTAGTCTGCTTTCCTTTCGCCATTAGAGCATCCTTTTCATATTCACGCTGCTCTGGCGATTGAGTCACCGTGAAGAAGCGTGCCAGGCAACCCAAGAACTCCGGACACAGGCAGATGAAGAACGCCGTCATTTTCAATTTAACTGCAATACAAATTTCAGTGAACAAATCAAAGAAGACAACTCAAGGCAAAGCTGAATGGAAAGCAATTAATGGCAATCGGGGCAATCAATGCGGATGCGGCTCATGAGCTTCCCCATTACTCGTCACCTTCAAATCACGAATGATAACTCGGATATTAAAAACAAGCACAAAATCATTTCTGGTATAGTAACGGTATTTTCATTGGCCATTCATCGGTTGCTACAGAAACATCGACACTTACTATTTTTGTTCTGCTCAGCATCTTGAGAGAAAGCCAAAGCTATGAAGCGTTCAGCCTCATTAGTCGACTTCTTATCAAGCAGCTGATGGATCTTAGTCAGAGCACGGCGTTCATCTGACATCGTGAAGGTGTTCATCGAAATTGCCACATTCATCGAGTTGTCTTCCTAAAACCAATTGTTAGTAATGAGAAACTCAGGCTAGTTACAAGAACATTAAAGCCAATTCCTGGAGACGGTCTTTTTTTTTTGAAAGAAAGCTTTTTTTTCGAACATCAGAAATAGTTCAGTTATTTGTTAGCAGATTAGTTTACAAAAATATGCAGAAGTTCAAGTGGAGGCTAGACTTTCATAATGGAGACATGACGATGAACATTAGAGGAACTTCGTTTGGAAAACTGAACCAAACCCACTTTGATGGAGCCACTGAGCTTCAACCCGAGTAATTTCATGGAGGCAAAAGCGTTCGCATCAGGTCGCCGAGTGGAGCCATCCTCGGTACCACCTGAAATATGATGCACTCGATTCAGTGTATCTTAAAACCAGAAAACACTATTTCTCACAATTCGGTGAAATAAGAAATAAGCCTCGAGTAATTGGCAAGTGGGTGGAAATAGAAAAATGGAAGACCGGTTACATAAGAGGCAACTTGTGCAATTCGGATGTAGGTCAGAACTGCAAGACTGCGCATATGGTCGATATTGAGCACCGTAAGAGTTGGGGACGAAGGAAACTGGCGCGCAGACGAGAGGCAAGAGAAAAAAACGACCCCAGCGAGACAGAATCCGCCCAAACCCATACTGATCTCCCTAAGTTACTCAAAGAGCTGTTTTCGAAAAAAGCTCACCAGTATACAGCACAGCCACGATTTGATCCAGGGAGAACTGAAAAACGATTCTTGGCTTCGCGACTTCAACTGGCGGTGGCGTCTCCACTTTTGGAGTGCTGGAGGTAGTTGCTACCACCTTCTTCTTTTCCTGACGACCCTGCAAAAAAATCTTCCATTAATGATACCGTGCTAGATCCGGTGACTTCAGCCCAACCTTATCATCGGTTTTGTCTTCCAACACTTGAACACCGTCAGTCGTATCACATATCGTGGGTGGAGGCGGTGGTTCCTCGACAACATTGCCTTCGGCAAGATTTCCGCTCAGCGTCTGAAACATTTTATTTTTGCATACTTTTTTTTGCTGAGTAGTTACTTAAGCTCATAGGCATTCTTTCAGCAGCAACGCATACAACGAAATACTTCTACAAAAAATCCAAGTGGAACCGTAAATTTTCGTTCTCGACTCCACCTGCATTAAAGTACTGTAGTCCTGCTCCGACATATTCACAGCAAGTGAGGGAATTTGTGCATCCACTGCAATCTCAGGAAGATCCTTGCAAATGGAGAACACCAGATTCCTAAAGTTTTCTTCGAATATTTTGCCCACATTCGTATTTCAGACTTCATGGCAACGAGTCAACTGTTCGGGAGAAGCTGAGCACTAATCATGAGAGGAGCCTTCAGGCTCAGTTGTAAAAATTCATCTCCAGAGCAGCAGCTAGGGTCTGTACGAACCAGAGGGAGTCGTATTATTGTATTCAAATTCAACCAAAGTCACCTGATGAGTTCAAAGGAAAGGGGTTATTACATACGATTGTTTACAGTATGGGGAAGTTTGAAAATGGTCGCGGTTCTGAGAAATTTCATAGAACAGAGTGAGGGTGAACTAGGCAATCAGAGGACTTGCCGTTTTCATGCGACATACTTACACCTCCCCCTACCTCCCACTATAAGGCCGTTGGAGAATAAATGTGGTGTGGTGGTCCGTGATGAGGAGAGGGGACTTATATGGGAGATATCCCATTAAATAGGTGACGGTGATTGGGGTGGGGAGGTACCGGAGATCCCAAAAAAAAGAATCGCAAAAATGCCGTGATTGGGATGGTGCTAGGGTTGACACCAGCTGCAACAGGCTTCATCTCATCCAGCACAGGGCCTTACAAGGGAGGTCTTTCAGGGCAAGGTGCGCTTTTTCAAAACGGTTTTGTGCATATTGTAGGGACGCATGTAGGGAACGCAAAACCATGTTTCATTTTCGCTGAACGGTTTAGCAGTACCAAAAAAGAAGCATAAGGTACTGTTAAGGGTTCGATCCCCCGTGGCGACTAAATTTTGCATTTGGGTTGGCGCCTACGGTTTGGTGCCAAATCGCGCTAAATATCAAAATCAGATGTCAATTCATCGTCAGGACCATTTTGAAGCCAACAAGTGGCCGCCAACCTTGATTGCAAAATTTAGTCGCCGCGGGGGATTGAACCATCAAGAGTATTATTCACCACTTTTTTGGTACTACTAAAACCGTTCAGCGAAAACGAAACATGGTTTTGTGGTCCATACATGCCCTGAAACATTTCCAAAAAGCGCACCTTGTCCTGAAAGACCTCCTTTGTTAGAGGCGGGCTGAAGCGTAGCGATATCCTCATACTAAAGGCACATTACAAGCTCAACGTATGCTGGGGTTCGTATGGGGCCAAACAACAGGTTCATGGTGCACTGTACTAATTCCATATCCCTGGTCCCTTCGCCTTCTCACAAGCAGGGGAAAACGGTGAGGATTCGCACTACTTCAACTGACGACAGTCAGACTTTCAAGGTGGAATGAGCTTTTGAAAACAAGAGGAATGACAAATCATCAATTTCATAAATAAGATTTTTCCGGAATAAAACAATGCAAGATTGGATATAAAAGAAGTCCGACAGTCACGTACCTGTGAATTGTGACATTGAAAGACAATGGTTGCAGAATATCGCATGTGCCTAGTAATTTTGCAGCATCTGCGTCGACGGAACCACTAAAACCGATCATAGTAGAAAAATCACATTCACAAGACTGGTCCAAAACCGATTGATGGAATTAATGATGAAACTGACATTCCAA